GTGGTTTTTCGAAAAAATGCTCGGACAGGTCAATTTTGTTTACTAAAAGCGCAATTTTTTAAATAGAATATAATTTTCCCCCACTTCCCATTTTTGGGCAGTGACGTCATTGACAATTTTTTTAAATAGTAACCCCAATTTTTTTTCTTGATTTTGATAGATCTTGCAATTTCCTACTCGGAAACATAATATTTGAAATATCTGACATAACAATTTTTTTTTAATAAAAGTCATTTAAAGATCAGATACATAAATTTTATTTTATTTTGAAACACAATAAATGAATAAAAGATTATTTGTAATTAAGTGCTTCATCTAAAAAAATAATAATAATAAAAAGAATTTAATGACAATTTCACAAATTCTTTTTTTTTATTATTATTATTATTAATTATTTTGTTAGATTAAGCACTTAATTACAAATAATTTTTTTTATTCATTTATTGTGTTCTTAAAATAAAATAAAATTTATGTGTCTGATCTTTAAATGTCTTTTATTCAAAAAAAATTTTTATGTAAGATATTTCAAATATTATGTTTCCGAGTAGGAAATTGCAAGATCTATCAAAATCCAGAAAAAGAAATTGGGGTTACTATTTAAAAAAATTGTCAATGACGTCACTGCCCAAAAATGTGAAGTGGGGGAAAATTGAATTCTATTTAAAAAATTGCGCTTTGAGTAAACAAAATTGACCTGTCCGAGCATTTTTTCGAAAAACCAACTACTTCCATTATAATGAATTTATTCCTTTCATTTGAACCATACTGTATGGTGTAAATATTGACAAAATTAATTGGTATTTAGTATAAATCTTAAATAGTGACACAATAGGTGTTGAAGCATTCAACATATTAAAATACATAACAATATTTAATTTTAACAATTAGAATCTGGGCACAATAATCTTAAAAACCAACCCTGAAGTACGTTTGAATTCTCGAGGCCATTAGGCAATCCGTGTCATAGCCTACGTCGCACATGTGAACACTTTAAAAAACTATTGTGAAGACGTGTTGGCATAAATGTGATTAATTTTCTACAATATGTAAATAATGTATATTTTATTTTATAACAATCCATAAAATTTCAATTAAATAGTGTTAATTGTGGCCGGCTTTTTATTTATAAAACAACCAGGAAAAACCACCTACAATAATTTGAAATCAAAGGTACGAGGAAACACCAAACCCTGCACTCGCAAAATAAGCCTTACGACTGAACAGGATATCCTTGCACAAAGGCGGTCCTTAATACGATCAAGGATGATATCAAAGAGTTTCGAAGAATACAAAATTGCAATATTTAAATATAATTTAATTTGACTTTAAACTTTGTCAATTATGTCCACCTATTTAAATGCAACTTCAATGAAAATTCAATGATACACGTAAAAACCAATGATGCACAAACGTACTGTTAAGAACACTCCTAGATCAAGTATCTCAAATTTCCTTTATTACTGAAGAAGTTGCCCAAATGTTAGCCCTGCCAAGAGAAAGCAGAAATAAAATTACTTTGCACTTTACAAATTTACGAGTTCAAAATAATTGTTTTTCATAAAATAATATTGCTATCTTTGCAGTTATTCTATCTACTTGTTATATGTGTTTGAGCTCAATTTATAGGGCGTGGGTTAGATTTTTAAATAACTCGAATAATTTTGAAAAAGAAGTTGGCACCACTATATTTAAAGCTTACTACACTTGACTCTAGAATCTAGATTAGTGATAAAAATATAGAAAATAACTAACCAATAACAAATAATATTTTAACCATGCTTTAGATAAGGTAGCTATCAAATTCTAATTCACATAAGTATACTAAATTCAAATTTAAGATGATTTATTGAATAAGCACTTATATTTTGATAAGTTAAGGTAATATACGGAATGTAAAACTAGGTAATCGCATGGTATACCCTCAGGCAACTTCCACAAAGGGATTCGGGATCCTTATTCGTAATTCTGCATAATTCTGCAACGTGAATGATCTTGTGATATATGGTATTAAAACTTGAACTCGAAATTGTCTTGAGATTGAACCAAAACGTCTTGAGATGAATCCAAAAAAAATAGTTTCACAGACTAAAATTAATATGAAATGGAAAAATCTTATTTAATATATTTAAATATAGTAAAGCATAATATCCTATTCCAAAAAAATAATATATATAATTTTATATAAAACCAACATGTGTTATTCATTGTTGAGGTTATGTTCAAAACTTGACAAGAAATCCTTGTACAAAACATATATTTTCAACAATATATCATTATTAAAACTTACCTTATAAAATCAGACGGCCAATAACATAAATAAGTATCATCTAATACTTCGGATGACCAAGATAATTTAAAATAATTGTGATCTATTTGATATCTTCAAATGAAATGAAATACGAACTTTTGACACAAGGCATAAACGACAAATGACATTTGAAGAAGAGGTGATTGTGTCGAAATAACGGTTCCAACCGTTACACTTTTCAAATATCTCTTTTATAAAACATAAATTTACTAAAATATGCAAAGTGCAATGTGAAAAGTTGAAATAGGCTCCAGGTCTGGCTAATGTAGAGCCAAAATTTTTAAAATGGAGAATTCAAGCCAAGATTATTCAGTAACTTTTCCCTAAGTTCAAATAATGGTTATGTCAAAGTTGACACAAGCTATCCCAAAAACTTTATAACTACACGATGATACAGCACCCTTGTAGAACAAGTTAGCGGATCCAACATTTAATAAAACATGTCCAATCGATTTATTGAAAAAGAATACAGTAAATTGATATTTTATGGTCTCCACAAATCAAACGATGGTATCATTGGTCAAAATATAGGATTTGGATGGATTCTACCGAGTTACATTGCCTCCCAAAAAACTAAAACAATAAAGGTAACAAGCATGGTAGCATGGACCGAAGAATATTCATGAAAATCATCTTGTAGTAATAATTATAAAATTATCTTTGCAATCTATGTCTTAATCAAATTGCAAGGTCAAAGAATTTAAAAGAATTAACTAACAGTCGAATACAGAGTAAATCGGAAGATGTAAAAAATAGTATTACTGTCTTTTGTCTCTTTATTGAAATAATATCTCTCACTCAGGCGTTGCAACTAAGACATTTATACATGTAAAAGATCTAGCCAATTGGGTTTTAAATTTATAAATAGACCTGAAACGGGAGCAACACCAGAATTTTCATTATAGTATTCAAATCAGTACATAATTTCGTATATACTTGAAAACGGTTATTTTTTTGTCTCATTTTGAAGCATACAGTAGAGGCCTAAACGAAGAAAGGTACAAGAAGAAGAAATAGTAAAATTAAAAAAAATTATATTCTAGAATATAAACAAACAAAATAATGGGCTTTTAAATTAAATATTTAAGTGGTCGCTATTGTGTTTTATTAATTATAAAAGTAAGTGATGCTGTTTTATTTATCTCTTCCAATAATCAATAATGAAGGTAGTAAATAATTTAATCATAATAGTAAAATATGTTGCATTATTTGTTATCTTTACAAGTTAAATATGACTATTATTTGGAACCCGTAACAAGTTATTCTTTCAATACCGAAATGTACCAGAAACCGGCCACTAGTCATTCAGATCTATGCATAAAACAACGATTTTTTAAACTAAATAAAAACAAAACATTGATCGTTTAAAGTGAATTTAAAAATATCTGCATGTGAGTTTGTAATCCGAACGTTTGGAAGATATTAACCAAATTTCCCTGGCAGGACCATTGTGATAACCGAATTCGGGAAAGTTGAATCGTTACCGTATAACTGATCACGAAATATATATGTTGCAGACTTCGTCAATTTCCGCTGTATATAAAATAAAACTACTCGCCGCATAAACGAAACTTTGTTAAAACTTTTCTCGTACCTATTTCTACCTTTTACTACGTTCAATCACTCTTTCCCACTGCATTGTTCCCTAGTTTTCCATTGCTGGCATTTTCTATGGTGAATGCCAGTAGAACTCCGTCGGACCAGCTGCTCCATCTTTATTACATTTTGTAATCAGAGCAGGCGGTGTTTTATTAGGGCCAGTAATTCGCATTGTAACGGCTGCGGCCCTTTAAGAGCACCGCTGATATATCGCCTTTATTGACTACAATGTAGGATTTTGGGCAAACGTGGGAAAATTTAGAAGTAAGGGTGAATCTCGACCGAGAGAAGTATAAATGTATGTTTAATTCTACTCTTAAATTAGAAGAAATCGAGAGGGCAAATAATAGTTATTTATCGATAAAAACTCGCAAGTGTAATTTACGAATCGAGAACACAGTTTGCAGACCGAAATCGGTAGGGCTGAGGTTTGCAATTGTTTGAGATGTATATATCGATTTATGTATCTATTAGCAATATTAAAACTTTTAAATAAATCTATTTATAATTAAAAAATTATATTTCAATACCTATTAGTTTCTGTAATTACTGTAAACAAGTTAGAGGTTAATATACCAAAAGTAATTGAATAGGCTCATCTTCTATGTCTGCTTATAAATCTGTTTACATACAATTTTTAATTTTAAAGATCACTTTTAAAAGCTTAACTGTAGTAAAACTAATTTTACACATTTTCTTACACTATTATAATATGTATTTATTTTTAAAATAAACACTTTCTGAACATAAACTGTATTCCATGCATAAGTATTCAATATATGAGTGTCCTAGATGAAAAACTCGCTTAATGCATCAAAGGTCATTTTGAGAAAATCACAAAAAAAATGTTTTCGGTAGAAATGTTTTAGCAATCGCCTCAAAATTTTGGGATCGTTTTGATACAATTGCCTCCTGTTAGGTCCTATCGTATTTTAAAAATATAACAAGCACTTTTTCAATTAATTAAGAAAAGCAAAAGCATTTGGCGAATTTTGCTCCGAACATTTTCAAAAAGCGAGTTTTGCTCCCAGCTAAAATTAAAAGAAAGAGTTTTTTATGAAAATTTATTGTCAAAAATACAAAAAAATGGCATTTATATTGGTAAATTAATATCGCATGGTTTGATGCTACGGCAGCCACTCTCAACGTCAGTTTCAGGCATATTGTCTTGTTCTGCTCTAGAGGTAACAAGAGCTTCTTTAAGGAAACTTAAATCAGGGTTTTCTTCCCAGGTATCTCCGTAATGTTTCTTTAGAAGTGAAATTATTGTAGATTTATCACCCTTCAATTTGCAACCAATATCAAGCTCAGTAGAATTAATAGCTGAAGTGTTCTTTCCTCTCTTCAGAACAGATTTTGCTTCGCCGATATCAGCATAATAATTCGATTCACCTCTTATTAGTACATTAGCTTTTCCTCTAGTAAAAACGAATCTCTTTTTCTTGTTAAACTGAAAGTGCCACGCTGATGGCGTTTTCATATGTGTTTGGGCTTCACTTTTCCAGTCATACACCTGCCAGTCTACACCCAATTTGCGTATTGTCGACCTATGTGCTATGATCTTTTCGTAGTCAGAAGGTTTTACAACTACAGATTTCTTTTTCACTTCCTTTTCACAATCATACCGAACGCCCTATCGGGAGGTATAAAAGAGTGCCCTACTACTGGGAATATTAAGGTGAGAGACTTGACGTTCTGGGGAGCTTTCTTCATAAGCCAAACGGAAAGCATCGTCATCATGATACTATTTTTATTTTGCCTCCCACAACCATCAGCAAACAAATGAATAGTATCAATTTCCCCCAAAAACGAGGACTTAACCAATGCATCCCAGACGGCTGAAGCAGTTGAATTTGAATTTTTGGCAAAATCTACCTCCGTCCACACATAGGAATAGACATTTTCAGGAACCAAGGATGTTGTTGATGATCCACGGACGACTGTAAAGTTGTAGTAGTTAATTTGTTGGGTAAAATAACTAGCTTGATCCGGTAGCTTCGGCAACGGTAAGTTTTTTTCGCAGTCAAACGAAAAAACTGCTACATTTTCTGGAGGGCTCTTTAATAAGTTAAAAAATGCTTTTGCTTTAAGTTTATGTACACGTTGCTCTGTAATAACATCTTTCTTCTCAGAACTAGACATGTCCTTACTTTTTAATATTTCTTTGGATTTTAAACACGTTGAGCATAGATCGGTTTTTGGGGAACCAAATCCAATATTGTAATGGGTATTTATGTATGACTTAAAACACCCAATTTGACACGCAGTTGTTGGTTGTGAATCTTTTATTGGTAGATATTCCACAGTTTTGTTATGTTTAGTTCACATGGAAGATAGACGCGAGTACTGGTTTGACTTCGGCAATAATGACTTTCTACACATTGTAGAGATTTAATAAACAATTTTATTGCCAACTTTTTGTCCTCATTTTTATCAAGGATTCGATCGCCTCCCCTATTTTCATAACCTGTTCGATTCGATATCTGCTTAATGAAGTGATTTTTAAAAAAGATGTCTTACAAACACGGATCAGCAGAAGTTGTTGGAACATAGTACTTAATAGATATTTTTTCCCTGGTAATTTTTGATCTTTTACACTTTTACCCTTCACAACATGCAACTACAAAACTTGTTTACATTTTTCTTTAAGAGAATACAGTTTTGCATGAAAATCTCGAATTTGCCGCATTGTTAATGTGGAACAATAATACGGTTTGCCTGGCTGACCATTATGTCCACAGGTGGGAAATTACGGCAATTGTTTTGGGGTGTGCCTAAAATAATACAATTTCTTGTCATTTTTATTCATACAAAATAAATATAATTTTATTTACCTTAATCTTTTATGCTTTTGCCGCTTACTTTCCCCTTTACATTTTTTCTACACATGTTACTTGGAAAGGCTGTATTTTTGAACTCACACTGTCATTAATTTCATACATTTCATTGTCTATCTCCATTTTTAAACTCTTAGTAGATGTTTTAATTTTAAACAAAACACACCGTACTCACTGAAAAACAAAACAAAATGAACTAATTGGATCACAACGCCAGTTATACAAACAAACAGCACGACTCTAACCACGTGTGTAAAATTGCGGACTGTGATTGGATGCGTTGCAAAAAGAGAGTTTTGCATCCAGCACGTCAAAACAAAAAGCGAGTTTTGCATTAAACTGCGATTTTTAAATCTGGTTTCTCGTGCTAAAAAGTTAGTTTTGTCCCATAATACCTTAACACAATATCAGTATTTACTAAAGCAACAAGATGGAGTGCTTAACTCATTTTTCGTATTTTTGTCTAAAAGCGAGTTTTGCATCTAGGGCACTCATATATAAAAAATAAACATTTTACCTATATTATTTTATTAATCGAACAAATATGATTATGTATTTTGTGACCTTTTCTAATTCATGCGAAATGATAAGAAGAGCAATAAATAATATATGAGATTTAACGCAAAATACAATTACCTGGCGACACGTAGGTACACCTTGTTCCCTTGTCTTGTCAACATTTTTTACACAGGAGTAAAGAATGATCGTGTATTTATTATTTAATTACAAATTAAATATACATTTTTTTTATAGACATTCAGCCGGTGACTAAAAATACTTAAGAATTTTGATGATATTTGACATAAAAATATCGAATAACGTAGAATAGAGATACTTGAAACGGTGGAGTAACTAAGTACAAAACATGAAATTTTGTATTTTTTAAAGAAACTGACAACGTTTTGAATAATTGTTATGTTGGGTAAACAGGTAACGGTTACTATATACATGTGCTTAAAGTCTGACTAAAAGAGAGTCGTTATAAATATTTCTAAACGTGTATATTCATCTGTCATAAGCTAAAAGGCAATATTAATGCCGAAAACAAACTTTTAAAAACTTATATCGAAACAACTATTTATGTTTATTCAATTTGAATGATATTTAATAGCTCGAAAATACGGAGTTGTTAACGTACGATGCAGTTGTCTGGGTACCGAAAATCCAAAAATTAACAGCTATCCGTAAATTAGAACAAATTCAAAGAACAGCATATCTCAACATAACAGGAGCCATAAAAACAACAACGACCAGAGCCATGGAAGTCATTCTAGGTCGTACTCCCCTTGACGTTGCTCTGACGATAATGACACGCCTTCGTACGGTTGGAATAGAACATGATGTAGGATCTGGTGAGACGAGAGATCGCTTTTGGCAGGAGGCGCTTCAAGCGAACATGGACTCCATCTCACCGAGATATATCTTCCATAGGCCATATAAAGTTATAACAGAATAGAGGAGCTGGAAGTGGCAGGTACGATTAATATCTACACCGATGGTTCTAAAACAAAAAAGGCCGAGGATATGGAATATACTCCAGATTCTTTAACCTAAACATTAAATGGGCTGTGAGAAATAGTGGCAGTATAGTTAAAACAGAGCTAACGGGGATTCTCATAGCATCAAAAGAAATCACTAGAAACAATATCACTGAAAGGAACATGTTCATCTATACAGATAGCAGACAAGCACTACTCACTATGACCAGATTATGAATTTGCTGTGTCAGTACTAGAATGTCACGAAGCTTTGGCCGAAGTATCCATCAATAGCGTGGTCACCTTAAGACGGATCAAAGGTCACGCCACATTGAAATGTAACAGTCTTGCTGATTCACTAGCGTTGAAAGCAGCCAACCAAATACTTTTTGGACCTAGCCCTTCTATTGGCCTGACAAAATCGGTAGTGAGAGGCATAATTAAACAAGATTCCCTTGTGAAATTCAAGAAAAGATGAGATAAAACGAGAAACTGTAGGGTTGCCAGGGAGCTCTTAAGTTATCCTGACAACACTGCAGCAAACAAATACTTGACTATAACTTGACAGAATCTCCGCCTAGTCACAGGCATTCTGACTGGTCATTGCCAAATACGGAAGCATCTCCATATTGTGGGGCTGTCAGAATCCGCACTCTGTAGAGGGTACGAAAAAGAAAATGAGACCATCAAGCATATCTTTTACAATTGCTCAACGCTCTCATTAATTAGAAGATTTGTGTTCGGTGAGTATCGGGTAACACATGCCGATATAAGAGAAGCACCTCTTGGCACAATGGCTATTTGCAGTATTCACGATGAGAGTAGGCCCAATATTTTCTTTACTATCGCAACATTATTCTTAACTATCTAGTCAGACGGGATAGTGTGAGAGCGCTTCCGTGACAGTACGATAACGACTAACAAGTTGTTTATATAGCGGCAGAGATAATAGTTACTATTATGATAGCAATTATCATAAAAAATATCACTGTGAAAATAAGGCTTTAGTTACATAAGTTTAAAGTATTTCTTCTGCCAATAACAATAAGCATTATCGGATTGTCATTTGATTTGTTTTATATCAAGCGTGGCTTAAACCGTAAATAATATTTTAAGGAAATCAATCGAGTGCTTTAAAAAGTCGTGTTCCTTCGCTGCCGTATAGCGGTGGTACAATTAATTTCGATGTGGTTAACTGTCCTTAAATGACAGTTTTCGAGCGCCTAAACCAAAAATATTTTGATTTTATTCGGAATATGATTAAAGAGGACCGGCACATTACTATCAGGAATATTCAAATAACTTTAGAGATTGGTGCGAAAGAAATTAACACTATTTTAATAAAACATTTGAAAGTTCGTAAGCTTTTTTCTCGGTGAATTCCTCACAACCTGACTTTAGTGTAAGACGGTGATGTGCCTACACTAGATCGCTTTTATCGTGGATTGTCTAATTTGGTGTACAACATCATCGTAGGTGATAGAACATGTGTATCCAAAAAAAAGCTGCAATCGTCAGTCTGGGTTTTTGAGAATTAGTCGACTTCAACAAAAGTTGTTTGTGTAAAAAAGACAAAAACAAAAAGATGGTCGCCACTTTTTTGGAAATACTGGGCATGTTTCCGGTGTAGCACTGGAGGACAGCCGTATTGTTAATTTAAAAAAGTACATTACAGTTTGTTTGCTTTAAGTTTCCCAAGAGGTTCGGGATAAACATGCAATAAGATCCAAGATAACACTCGGGCTCACAGTGCTGCTCGAACAAATGAGTATTTAAAACAGAAGTTGTAATGTGTTGTTATTCCTTATTTGATTTGAAGCGAATATGAGCGCGCATCTTGTCATGAGTAGGGAATATTGTCGGTTTTCGGATACATGGCAGTTGAGATTTTGTAATGAAGGAGGGAAATTAATAAAGTTTAATTGTTTCGGGTATTTGCATATTATTACCACATATCCTACTCACAATAATAAGAAATGTGTGAGTGGCGACGAGAAATATAGTGAACCCACAATAACTGCAGCAGTAAAGTAATTAAGAAGTAGTTTGGTTAAGCTGAGTTTTTAGGACATTTGTGAATTTGTCGCGGCAAATTTGGGTGGACAATTTTTAAGTAACATATTGATAACTATTATTTTCTCCAATGTTGTCCATTTACATCTGAAACTTCCTTCAAAAACAAATTTTGCACATCAGGTAATTTAAATGTTTAATTGTTTCGAGAAACATAACCTTTTAATTGTAATCAGATCAGTTCAGTGGGATTTATCTCTGTGGGGTAAGGAGGCAATCTGAGAATTCCTTCTTCTCGGGCCATCTCGTCTAAAAAATATTTTTTGAATTTGATTTTATGTTGCCCTACTATTACGAATAATTCTGCCTTCAAGGATTTAGAAGGACTGATCATCTTTTTAGAATGAAGCCATTTTGAAATATTTTTTTTCCATCTTGTTATAGGTAGTGATAGAATGCATTATCCAAAACAATAACGAAGTTGGCTAGAATTTTTTTATAATGTTCTGAAACCATTTTTGATCCATTTCTTTATGGTAGTCTTTCGTTTTACCCGAATAACCAGTCTGGCAAAAATCAACTGGTGGGTTATTATTAAACGAATACTTTTTCCTGTTGGATTTTTAAACCACAACAGACCCTTTCCATAAAGGCTTGTTTTTTAGTTTTGATAGAGGTATCTTGCTAAAATTTTTGTTACTGCATGCCCAGCAATAACCTATGTTTCATCTAAACAAAATACCTGTTTATGCTGATTCCATGCGTGTGCAATTTTACTCAAATAATCATGTTTCCACGCAATAATTTCGTTTTT